TGACAACCACTGTGAACTCATGTCTGTATGACACAATTCCCATCCTCCATCTTCCCTCTGCCATAGGCTGAGGCTCACCATTCCTCCTCCCCGCCCACCAGAGTTTGCCTTCCACTTGGGAGGTGGGGGGGAGCTGCATATTCTTGGGACGAAAGTGGCCCAAAGGGGTGCTTCCACATAAGAGCACGTGCGTGAATAAGGAAATAATCTGACCATTTGACAAATGGAAGTATTTTGTCTTTTGCCAAAGCATTTCCCTCCTTTTCTCCCTCCTTCCTTTCCTCCCCTCTCTTGTGGTATGTGTGGGGGGGGGGGGGCAGAGAGGGACCCCAGGTGTCTTCTTCTGTGGCTGCACACCTAACTTCAATTTTTTTAGTTTTTGATTTATTCTATTAGTATGGGCATTTTTCCTGCATGTGAATGTTTGTGTCCCACATGCTCAAGGAGACCCTGGAACTAGAGTTCCGGACAGTAGTGAACTGTCTGGTGGGTGCTGGGAACAGACCTTGGTCATCGGCAAGAGCAAACGAGTGCCCCTAACTGCCGAGTATCTCTCAGCACATCTCCACTTAACTTTTTTTTTTTTTTTTTTTAAGACAGGGTTTCTCTGTGTAGCCTTGGCTGTCCACTTAACTTTTGTTTTTTTTAATTATTTCAATTTACTTACATCCCAAGGGTGCCCCTCCCTCCTCTCCTCCCAGTCCCCCTTTTCCTTCCTTCCCCATTCCCCTCTCCCTCCTCCCCATATCAATCCTCCCCAGCACATGAAGTCACATCACCACTTAACTTTTTTTTTTTTTAAGATTTATTTATTTATTATGTATACACAAGATCTCATTATGCACCAGCTCTCCTTATAGGTGGCTGTGAGCTAATGTGGTTGCTGAGAATCGAACTCAGGACCTTTGGAAGAACAGCCAGTGCTCTTCACCTCTGAGCCATCTCTCCAGCCCCCACCACTTAACTTTTAATGCAAAGTCTGAGTCATTTTTTTTTTCATCCTCAAGCTGGCAAACACAAGGCCTGTTGAGGTAGCTGTGCTCAGGAATGCTCCCTCTAACTACAACTCTGTTTCTCAGGAGAGCATGGGCTAGCCTTGGACATGGTGAAATCCTGTCTCAAAAACACAAAAAGCAAATGTACCTCTGGCTTTTGAGGATGTATTCCTACCTCTGTCTACCTTACTCCTAACTTTTCCAAGAAGGAAAAAAATCAAGGACTAACCCTGGGTTCATTTTATTATCTATTTATACTTGGGTTTTTGAAATGGGTGTCCCACTGAAGCCCATGCTGACCTTGAACTCACCTGCCTTGCCTCAGCCTTCTGCATGAGATCACCACCACCACAGCTCACAGCTCGCTCAAAGTTCATTTCAAATGACCACGTAGGAAATCAGTAAAGGCTTACAGGTCTTTCGCTTGCTTGGTTAGAGTCACTGAAAGGTACTTTATGTCCTTTGTGGCTATCTATTCTGAAGGGTGTTGTTTCCCTGATTTCTTTCTTGGCCCTTTTGTCTTTGGTATACAGGAGGGTTACTGATTTTTTTTTTTTTTTTTTTTTTTTTTTTTTTTTTTTTTTTTTTTTTTTGTTTTTTTTTTTTTTTTTTTTTTTTTTTTTTTTTTTTTTTTTTTTTTTTAGTTAATTTTAATTCCAGCCACTTTGCTGAAGGTGTTTATCAGCTGCAGGAGTTCTCTGATAGAATTTTTGGGGTCATTCATGTATACTTTATATCATCTGCGAATAGTGATACTTTGACTTCTTTCTTTCTGAATTATAGCCCCTTGATCTCCTTTAGTTGTTTTATTGCTCTAGCTAGGACTTCATGCACTATGTTGAAGAGATAAGGAGAGAGTGGGCAGTCTTGCCTTGTCCCTGATTTCAGTGGAATTGATTTAAACAAGGAAATCATGAAACTTTTAGGCAAATCGTCAGAACTAGAAAAGGTCATCCTGAATGAGGTACCCCAGAAGCAGAAAGACACATACGGTATATATTCACTTATAAGTGGAAATTAGACATATAATATAGGATAAACATACTAAAATCTATAGTCCTAAAGAAGCTAAACAATAAGGAGGACCCTAGGAAAGAGGCTGAAATCTCATTAAGAAGGGCAAACAGGATAGACTTTGGAAGTAGGAGAAGACAAGGAACAGTACAGGAGCCTTCCACAGAGGATCTCTGAAAGACTCTACCCATCAGGGTATTGAAGGAGATACTGTGATAGCTAAACTTTGAGCAGAGTGCCAGAAACCTTATGGAAGAGGAGGAAGATAGAAAGATCTGGAGGGGACAGGAGCTCTACGAGGAGAACAACAGAGCCAAAACACCTGGGCCCAGGGGCAACTACAGAGACCAATACTCCAACCAAGGATCATGCATGGAGAGGACCTAGATGCCCTGCTCAGAGGAAATCCATAGGCTGCTCAGTTTCCAAGTGGGTTCCTCAGTAAGGGGGGCAGGGGCTGTCTCTGACATGAACTCAGTGGCTGGCTCTGTGCACCCTGGATGGGGTGGGGTGCAGCCTTACCAGGCCACAGAGGAAGATGATGCAGCCAGCCTTGATGAGACCTGATAAGCTAGGGTCAGATAGAAGGAGAGGAGGACCTCCCCTATCAGTGGACTAGGGAAAGGGCACAAGGGGAGAAGAGGGAGGATGGTTGGGACTAGAAGGAGTCGGGGGGGAGGGGGTTACATAAGGGATACAAAGTGAATAAATTGTAAGAAATGAATAAATAAATAAATAAATAAACAAACAAACAAATAAATAAATCACTAAGCACAACTCTCAGGTCTTCCCAGACAATTGAAAGGGGACTTCATGTTTCTAGGGTCTCACTGTCCCTATGCATAGAAAACCTATCAAACACCTTGCTTTGTAATAAAATGACTTTGGAAAGAGTAAAAAAATTTACACATATCTGAGAGCCGCTCCATGCTGGTTGTGGGGTTGAACTCTGGTCCTCTGCAGGAGCAGGGCAGGGATCCTAACTGCTGAGCCATGGCTCTAGGTCTTGAGGACTTTTTTTTTTTAATAACAGAAAGGAGAGGGTTTTGTTCATCTCTGTGTTTCTGTTTGTTGTTGTTTTTTGTTTTTGTTTTAACTGTCCACATAGCCCGCCCCCCCCCCCCGCCCCCAATGCTTCTCTCCTTTGTATGATTCTGGAATTTGACTGCGGAAGTCTTTATCTGAAAGATGGTCTCACTGGGATAGAATTCCAGAGTTTGTTTTGTTTTTCTGTCCGTTCGTTAAAGGTGTGGCTTCACTGTCATTTCAGACAGCCTGGCTTCTGTAGTCCACTCTCTTCTCATCTTTACTCACCTCGCATGTAACTGTTTTTCCCCAGCTAACTTTAAGATTTTTCTCTCTGTCACTCACTTTGGATAATTTTTTAACGCTCCATCGTCTAAGTTTCTTCACTCTCCTGCTTGAGTTTGTGGCTCTTCTTGGATCTGTAGGTGTAGACGTTTTCATCAAGCCTGAAAAGTTTCCGGCCATCATTTTGTTTCTTCAATTCTCTCTCTCTCCTGTTACTGCTTGAATTGTGTCTTTCTAAAACGTATGTGCTGAAGGTAAGATGGGGCCTTTAAAGAAGCAATTAAGGGTAGAACTGGTAAGATGGCTCAGTGGGTAAAGGCTCCTGCTGCCAAGCCTGGGGACCTGAGGATGGGGAGGGAGTCGGGATAGGCTGCCAGGTGGCGCAAAGTGTTATCAACTTTGTAAACAACTAAGTAACTCGCATGTGTGTGGCATGCCCACCTGAGTACACGCTCACCTGTGTGTGAGTTAACATGTACATTCAAATACAAGTCCACATGTATGTACATGTTGGCGACAGAGGTTGACACTGGATGCCCCTTCCATTACTCTTTAACTTAAATATTGAGGAAGGGTCTCTCACAGATCTGACTGCTCGCTCTGGGAATGCCCGGTCTCTACCTGTGAATGAGGGCTGGGGTTACAAGCAGGCTGTCACATCCGGCCGGCATTATGTGGGTTCTGAAGAGCCACACTTCAATCCTAACCCTTGCATGGCTTTTACCATTGAGTTATTTCTCCAGCTCTGAGTTGTTGTTACTGTTGTTTTCTCTGAAAGGAAAACAAAACAAAAGCACTAAGTGTAAAATGTATGTAAACGAGGGAGAAATGTAAAACTTGATTAATTTGAGGAGATAGACAGTGTCCTTTGTATTCTGGCAATTTTTCTCTGAGTTAGAAATTATATCGAAAGCAACAAAGGAAAAAAAAAAAAAAGGCTGATTAAAAGGGGAATGAGCCAGAACCAGAGGCTTGCCCAAGTGTCCTTCATGGACTGCTCTTCCCAGAGCACAGCCTGCTTGTGTACACACAGGTCTGCCAGGAGGAAGAGCCATTGCTGTACTGGGCAGAGAGCTCATCAGAGTCAGTCATGGAAGCACAGATGAACGGCTTTTTCAAGGAATCGTCCACATCACCTTGTTTAGCGGGTGTCGGGAGCCGACAAAGCCCCCAGACTCTGATTTGTCATATCCTGCCGGACAAACAACAGATGTCTGTGAATCATACCTTTCGGTTGCCGGACAAACAACAGATGTCCGAAACCACAGACGTTGTTTTTAGTGACTGTATAACCTTGTGAGCCTCCACTGTAACAATCACATGAATCAAGTGACTTCTTACAATAGTCTTAGTAATTTTCCACTATTATTTCCTCCTCCTCGAAACCCCCCCCCGCCAGAACTGCCCTATAAAAATACACTACTGCACAATAAAGTTAGCACTTGAAAGGCATTCGTCTACTTGTGCTCGTTTCTCTCTCTCCCTCATCTCCTACAGGTACGACCCCCTTCGCCCCCACTAATAACTAGGCCCCGCGGGTCGGGACAGAGTGGCGCCCAACGTGGGGCTCGAAGTACGGGTTGACTCGGACGGGCCCTCGAGAAAAGAGCAGGCCTGCGACATCAAGAAGAAGTTGGTCACACTCCTCTGGCCCGGAGAAGACTGCATGACCTGGTAAGTTTTACATTACACTTCCGTCTCATCGAGATGGGGCATTCTTTGTCTAAGGAGGCGTCCTTCATTAAGGATCTTAAAGCCTCCCTTCGAGAGAGAGGAATTAGGGTCAAAAAGAAAGATCTAGTTGATTTTTTCATTTATATTGATAAAGCTTGTCCTTGGTTTATGTTAGATGGCCCAACAATACACCCCAAAAAAATGGCAAAAGGTGGGTCGTGAGCTTAATCAAAAATTAATTTCAGAGGAAGACCAAGCCCTTTCCCCTACAGTCTTTTCTTTCTGGGGAATTATTCGAGATATTGTTGAAGATGCTGATAATGACGCTGGCAAGCGACAATTACTTTCAGTCGCTGAATATTGTCTTTCTTCTTCCAAGCAAAACTCACCCGTCGCTTCTCGCCCTCCCTCTCGCACTTCTGATTCCTTCTCTTTGGCTAACGCCTCTCCTCTTCCCAGCCTCCCTCGACTTTATCCGCCCCTCCCCACTGCTGATATCCCACCACCATGTTCTGGGACGCCTACTCACAAAGAATCCTCAAAACCCCTCGGCCCACCCGTTTCTCTTGCACAAGATCCTGAGCCCCTAGATCCTGGAGATGCCGCTACGCTTGAGGATGAGGCCGCTCATTATCATAATGGTGATAATCCTCCCCTAGCCTCCGCGCCTCCGCCATTTGCTCCTTTTGTCCTCCCATCCTTCCCTACACTGCCTACAGATATCCTCTCCGAGACCCGGTCTCGTCTTTCTGCCCAAGTCCGCGACCTGACCGAGATTCTCCATCTCCAACGACAACTTTCGCGACTCACAACTCGCTGTTCTGTCCTCCCTACATCCAATTCTGCCTCTGCTATTCCTGAGCGTTCTCCTCCATCTAACTCTTCGCTCATAAACCCGGTTTTTCCTCTGTCTACCCCTTCCCAGCTTGCTTTTCCTGTCACCACTCGCTCACAAGCGCGTCGCGTCTCTGCTCCTTCTCAGTCTACACCTGCCCGTCCCGATCATGTCAGTATTCAAATCCTTGACGATGAGGCTTCTGATGCGGAGACTAGTGATGATAATGACGAGGAAAAACCCTGTGACGAGGATAAACCCTATGAAGCCCCTAACTCTTCTCACGCTCCTGTTAGTTCTTCTGCTAAAACCAAAACCAAAACTAAACCCTCCTCTGAGGAGCCTGGTGACTTTCATCCCCTTTGGTTTAAAAAATTAAAAAAACTTAATTCAGCCGTCCGCACCTATGGCCCTAACGCTCCTTTTACTGTTTCCCTCCTTAAAAGTATGGCTGGGGGCGGATTCCTGACACCCGGTGAGTGGCTTACTGTTGTCCAATCGGTTCTCACAAGAGGCCAGTTTCTTTCATGGCAGGCTAACTGGTATGATCGCTGCCGTAACCTAGCCAATAATAATTTAACAGACCCCTGCAAGGCCTCAGCAAAATGGACATTTAATAAACTAACAGGACAAGGTAAATATGCCCCGACACAGGCACAACGCGCCTTTCCTATTGGACTTTTGGCTCAAGCTCATGGAGCTGCCCTTGCCGCCTGGCGAGCCATTCCAGTCAAGGGATCTGTCCTCTCACCTTTAACAAAAATCATTCAAGGAAATAATGAGGACTACTCAGAGTTTGTGGGGCGCCTCCTTGAGGCGGCAGAGCGATCATTGGGGTCCGACAAAATAGAACAAAAAGAAAATAAACTTCTTAAACAACTGGCTTTCGAGAATGCTAACTCTGCCTGTAAGACAGCCCTACGGGACAAACATAAAGATAAGGACCTTCCTAAAATGATTCGTATCTGCTCTGATGTTGACCCCTTTACTCATAAGATGTCTCAGGCTATAAGCCTGGTCATGGGAGCTACACAAGGCCCCGGTCCCAAATATTCTTGCTTTAAATGTGGACAAACGGGACATTTTGCACGCCAATGTCCCCAACAAAACTCTTCCCCCTCAGGACAAAATGGGGGACTTCCTTGTCCCTTGCCCACTACTGTCTGTCCTCATTGCCGGCAGGGCAAACATTGGGCTGCTGCCTGTCGCTCCAAGACGGATTCCGCAGGCAATCCTCTCCCTCCCCTACAAGAAAACATGACAAGGGGTCAGCCCCGGACCCCTCAGCCTATCAACTTTATGCCGGCCTTGGGGGTAAGCCAGCCATGCCACAATCAGACCCTAACACAGTCAGCGCCAGACCAACAGTCTGCCTTCGCAGGGCCACTCCCGGGGGCGCAGGATTGGACCTCTGTGCCTCCACCGACTCAATTCTAACCCCCGAAGATGGGGTACAAATTATTTCCACAGAAATTTTTGGGCTGCCTCCTCCATACACTTATTATTTAATTTTGGGAAGGGCATCTAGTATATTAAAGGGCATCAATGTCTTCCCTTCTTTAATTGATAATGACTATACTGGAGAAATAAAAATCTTGGCTAGCAGCACGTGGGGACCCCTCCCAATTACTAAGGGACAGCGATTGGCTCAAGCGCTCCCCCTACCCCTAGATTTAACTGCTCCCGCTTTAGGCCCTTCTCGAGGACCATCTACTCCTGGATCCTCGGACATTTTCTGGGTTCAACAGATGACTCAAGAGCGACCCACTCTAAAACTTAAACTTAATGGAAAGACATTTGAGGGCCTTTTGGATACAGGTGCAGATTCCACAGTAATTTCTCAAAGAGCATGGCCTCCTTCCTGGCCCTCCCAGCCAACTTTAACTCAGCTACAGGGTATAGGTCAATCTCTTAATACCCTACAGAGTTCCCAATTGCTGACCTGGGAAGACCCTGAGGGAAATAGCGGACACGTGGGTCCATTTATAGTCCCTGGGCTCCCTGTTAATCTCTGGGGGAGAGATATTCTTTCCCAAATGGGAGTTCTCATGTTTAGCCCCTCAGAGGCAGTCACCCAACAAATGCTTAAACAAGGCTTTATACCAGGAAAAGGATTAAAAAAAAAAAAATCAAGGAACACCCAAACCTATTTCGGTTGTTCCAAAATTGACACGTACAGGACTTGGTTATGAATCACATTTTTCTTAAGGGCCATTGCTCCCCCTGCACTCCAGGCAGATAAAATAACATGGAAAAGTGACTCCCCTGTCTGGGTTGACCAATGGCCCCTTCCTCAGCACAAATTAGCAGCAGCCATGCAGTTACGGTTGGTGCAGGAACAGCTTTCGGCTGGACATATTATACCCTCCACTTCCCCGTGGAATACACCCATATTTGTTATTCAAAAGAAAGGGGAAAAATGGAGGCTTCTCCAAGACCTCAGAGAAATTAATAAGACTATGGTACCAATGGGGGCACTCCAACCAGGACTCCCCTCTCCGGTTGCCATTCCTAAAGGCTATACAAAATTGGTTATTGATTTAAAAGATTAAACTTTTTGGAAAGGACCCAGATGTCATCTGTACACCATATAATTCCTCTCAAGTACAGTGGTTGATTCAGACTTCGGATGATTGGGCTGTTAATAGCATTTCCTTTCAGGGACAACTTGATAATCATTATCCCGCTGATAAACTTATTCAGTTTTTGCATAGACAATCTGTATTTTTTCCAACGCGAACCAAGACTTCTCCCATTCCTGGAGCCGCATTGATTTTTACTGATGGCTCCTCTTCAGGAATTGCTGCTTTTAGTATTCAGGGGCAGATTTTTCAGTCTCAGACAGATCACTCGTCCGCTCAACTGGTGGAGCTGGTTGCAGTCATAAAAGTCTTCGAGACTCTCGCAGGCCAAGCTTTTAATCTTTACACTGATAGTGCTTATGTTGCTACTTCTGTTCTGTTGCTTGAGACTGTCCCTTACATTAGGCCCTCTACCAATGCTTCTCCTCTTTTTGCCAAATTACAGGCTTTAATACTAAGACGCTCAGAACCCTTTTTTATTGGACACATTCGAGCTCACTCTGGCCTTCCGGGACCCCTGAGTGAGGGAAATGACTTGGTAGACCAGGCCACCCAACCTAAGTTAGTCCTTTTTATGACATCTGTTGAGCAACCTGACCCCCTGATACAAGCCCAGGAAGCTCATCATTTACACCATCTCAATGCCCAAACGCTTCGTCAGATGTTTTCTATTACGAGAGAACAGGCTAGGCAAATAGTCCGCCAATGCCAGAATTGCTTAATTTTCTTGCCCGAGCCTCACCTAGGAGTTAACCCTCGAGGTCTGACACCGGGAGAGCTCTGGCAGATGGATGTTACACATTATTCCCCTTTTGGAAAATTAAAATACATTCATGTGTCTATAGATACCTTCAGTGGATTTATTTTCGCCTCTCTCCAATCGGAAGAGGCTACTAAACATGTTATAAGTCATATTCTTGCATGTTCTGCCTTCATGCCTTTACCTAAAATCATAAAGACAGACAATGGCCCTGGATATATCAGTAATAACTTTAAACAATTTTGTGCTCAATTAAAAATTAAACACATCACAGGAATCCCTTACAACCCACAGGGCCAGGGCATCGTAGAAAGAGCACATCAAACCCTTAAAAATATGCTTCAAAAATTACAATATTCTGGAGGAATTTTATACCCACCAACAGGAAACTACAAAACCCTTTTAAATCATGCCTTATTTGTTTTAAATTTCCTTACTCTTGATAATAATGGCAAGACCGCAGCTGATAGATTCTGGCATCCTTCCACATCGGATACCTATGCTCAAGCAATGTGAAAAGACCCATTGACTTATAAGTGGTCTGGTCCGGACCCCGTATTAATTTGGGGAAAAGGACATGCATGCATATTTGACTCTAAGCAACAAAATGCCAGATGGCTCCCTGAAAGATTAATAAAGTTAATTGACACCCCCCCCCCAGGGAAACCCCTGAGGAAAAATCTAACTGTGCTTAATTACAGAAAGATGTTCGGCCTTGCCACTCTTTCGCTCCTGCTTGCAGTCTGGCTGGCGGTAAGTGCCCCCTCCCCTTATCAGATTTATAATTATACCTGGGTTATTGAAAATCAGGCCGGAGAAATTGTTAATTCTAGTTCTTCGGTTGGAACTCAGCCCCATTGGCCCGATTTAGAAGTAGATCTTTGTGCCCTTGCCCTTGGAGCACACCCTGATTGGGGTGTTGCCGAGATTCTTTGGCCTCGGCCTGGAGGTATAGCACCTGAGTCTCCACATTATCCCCCCAACCCTGGCTGTTCAAATGCTCTTGATAGAAGGATTCTTCAAAACCAGCATGGTATTTATGTCTGTCCAGGGGCCCATAGGGACCGATCTCTCAACTATAAATGCGGATGGGCTAATGATTATTTTTGTGCTTCGTGGGGCTGTGAGACTACCGGAGATACCTACTGGAAGCCCACTTCCAGTTGGGATTATATTACTGTTAAACAAAAATACACCCCTCCAAAAAGAAGTTCTACCTATGCTTGCCCTTCATTGGGCTGTGTTCCCTCTACCTATTCCGAACTCAATTCTCAAACATTGCCCTTATCATGTAAAAATAATGATCCTATTACTAAAGGATGGTGTAACCCCCTGTTAATTCAATTTACTTCCCAGGCCAAGCAACAAACTTGGACTGGACAGGGGTTTGAATGGGGACTTAGGTCCTATAAAACACATATTGGACTCACCTTCAAAATTAAGTTACTCAAAACCATTCCCAATAAAACTCCTGTTGCTATTGGACCTAATCCTGTCTTCCAACCAGCAAAGCCTAAGCTCCCTGCTGTTTCTAGTTTTACTACCCCTAGTTCTACCCTGTTGCCCCCTTCTGAAGCAACTCCTTTTCAGCCTACTCTCCCAGAGGGACATATGAGTTCCGCAGATCTCATCATTTCTTTGGTTAATGCTTCTTTAGAGGCAATTCGTAACACCAGTAACCCTGCCTATGAGGAATGTTGGATCTGCTTTTCTCCCACTCCTCCATTTTATGAAGGCATAGCAATAATGGGTGATCCCATCCTCACCAATGACTCTAAGTCCCTGCTTTGGCATGCTTCCCCTGAGGGAGGCCTTACTCTTAGCTCAGTCTCGGGTTTTGGCCATTGCCTCCTGGGACCTAATATGATTCCCCCACGACCATTACAGATGATCTGCAACCAGACATCTATTATCAATCAAACATTCTTATTCACTAAGGCTCCCAATAATACTTATTTTGCTTGCTCTACTGGACTTACTTCCTTTATTACTAATAAGGATTTTTTAGAAAAAAGAGACTACTGTGTTATTGTTATTCTTCCCCGGTTTTTTATTCATGATTCCGACAGCTTTCTGTCCTTTTATGATGGTGGTATTTCTATTCAAAAAAAAAAAAAAACCTATAACGGCCATTACTCTTACTGTACTTTTGGGCTTAAGTGCCATAGGGGCTAAAACCGGTATTGCTTCCATGGTCACTTCTCAACAACATTTTTCTCAGCTTCAAACAACCATTAATAAAAATTTAAGTGAGCTCCAAAAAAAAAATACAAAATCTTAAAAACTCTGTGGCTTCCCTTTCCAAAGTAGTTCTTCAAAACCGACGAGGCCTTAATCTAATTTTTCTAAAAGAGGGAGGCCTTTGTGCCGCCCTTAAAGAGGAATGCTGTTTTTATTCTGATAAGACTGGATTGGTACAAAACAGCTTAGATAAGGTCAAAAAAAAAAAAAAAAAAAAAACCTGGAAGAGCGTAAAAAGGCTCGAGAACAGCAGGAGTCTTGGTACCAAAATTGGTTTGCCACCTCTCCTTGGCTTTCCACTCTTCTTCCCAGTCTTTTGGGCCCCCTTATGGGTCTGTTTCTGCTCCTCTCCTTTGGCCCTTGGGCCTTTAATCGTCTTATTAAAAGACAGGTGGATTCTGCAATCAAGCCCATCCAAGTCCATTATCACCGCCTGGCTTGGAAAGAAGAATCTGCCATGGAACTTTCACCTGATGCCCCAGACTCCCGCCCCCTAGATTTTTCCTCCCTGCTCTCCCCTGCCCTGAGATGGAAGTTTTGGGGCCATCCTCATAGCTAAATTTGGACTTTTACGACTCTCACAATTGGCTGACCAAAAATAAAATTTCTTCCTTAGTTAACTAAGGCAGATTTAACAGCTGCCCTTTAGTCCTTTGGGTACACCCTCATTTTCCTCTGCCCTGCAAGTCTTTGGGGAGGATCAATGCGTTACATTTTCACAAAGTGAGTGGTCTGGTAAGTCAGAGACGGAATGGGTGGGTAAGTCTCGCTCCGCCTAAGACAGGATGACCTCGCCTGGAGGAGGCCAATCCAATGACGGGTAAGGGTCCAGCACCGCCCTTCCAACAGGCTCAGACCCCGTTTGTGCCCCTGTTTAAGTAAGGACTCTTGCCTCTCCCTTCTGTTGATTCAACTCGTCTATGGCCTTTGCACTCTGAGGGCTTTGTCCCATTGCACCAGAAATGGCATAGACCTATCAACAAAGGTAATGATGTCCGTAAATCTCTCTGGGGAACGCAACCTCCATGGCTTGTTTATGTGGGTTACCCAGATAGGCTACAAAAATTGGCTGATCAAAATTATTCTTTACATGTTCTTTGAGAGTCCTAAAAGTCCCCTTGCTTCTAAAAAGATAAAAAGGGAGGAGATGTCGGGAGCCGACAAAGCCCCCAGACTCTGATTTGTCATATCCTGCCGGACAAACAACAGATGTCCGAAACCACAGACGTTGTTTTTAGTGACTGTATAACCTTGTGAGCCTCCACTGTAACAATCACATGAATCAAGTGACTTCTTACAATAGTCTTAGTGATTTTCCACTATTATTTCCTCCTCCTCGAAACCCCCCCCCCGCCAGAACTGCCCTATAGAAATACACTACTGCACAATAAAAGTAGCACTTGAAAGGCCTTCGTCTACCTGTGCTCGTTTCTCTCTCTCCCTCGTCTCCTACAGGTACGACCCCCTTCGCCCCCACCAATAACTAGGTCCCGCGGGTCGGGGCAAGCGGGCTTTGGGCAATGACCCTGAAGGTACATCAAAGTACAGTGTCTGAGAATCACAGTCTTAAATTTGTCGTTATAAACTCAAGCATCATGCTATCCAGTGGTTGGTTGGGTTTTAACAGAGGCCCTCCGGGGTATCTGAAGATGACGTTAAAAACACTGTTGGGCTAGCAGCTGCTCCGAGTCCTCTGGTCATTCCTGGCCTTTATAAACTTCCATGTATGTCAGTCATACCTCAATAATGTTTTGTCACTGTTTTCCTAAGGACACATTAAAAGTAAGTCATTCTTTTCTATTGTCTAACTGTTTTTATTTCTCTGGATATCTCATGTTGGGGATCATAATAACTAACGTGTGTGTGTGTGTGTGTGTGTGTGTGTGTGTGTGCATATATGTATATATAATCAATTGGCAAGTATTTGGCACGGGACAGTTGGGACACTGTAAATTGCCCGCCTTCCTTTTGTTAGACTAAATCAAAAGTGAGAGTGGGTGGCTATCACGGCAGAGCTCTGGTGACTACGCCTTCAGAAGACTGCAGTGGTAATCTGTTTGTTCCAAGGGCTGAAAACTACAGGGTCAGTTTAGTTCAGAGGTCCCAACCTTGCTTTTTATTTTACAGCAAATAGAGGAGTGAATGAATCTCAAGCCGTAGATATTTCTCCGGTCTATTTTTAAACACACACTGGCTCTTTCCCAGAAAGAGGAGAAACAAAAATCCACTGGCAGCCAGGCTTTACCTTGTTCCATTGAATTTCCTGAGGAGATTTAAAAAAAAAAAAAAAAAATCTCTGGAAGCCGGGAACAGATGGAGCAGCATGCAGAACACGGCAGAACAGGAAACTTTACAAAGTACTTAGGAGAAAACAGAGTGCTCAAAAAGACCCTGTCTTTAAAAAACTCATTTGACTGGAGACAAAGTATCAGATGGAGTAAATATTTGCCTTTCTTTGAAGGAACTGGAGATGATAAAAACAGTCACATTAACTTGTTCTCCAGGTTGTTCTATCAGGCGCGGATCCTGAAGATTTCCAATCTGAATCGAACGAGTCGGGTGAGGCTTAGAGAACAGATAAAAATGTCGCTCATTACCATGTCTTCTCTTTTTCCTAGCCATGAATCCATTCTTTAGATACCAGGAAAGTTAAATTTAAAAGTCTAACCGCCTCGTGGGGAAAGGGAGCGCTAAGTGGATCCCGCCTTCGGCGAGGCAGTCGCCCCGCCCTGTTCTTGCGACAGGTGAAAAGCCTGGGAGGTGGCCACGCTGGGGCGAGGGCTCGGAGTGCTGAGTGCGGACGCCGGTCCGCAGCTCTCCCCCTGCAAACCAGCTACCAAACCGTCAACATGAACTGTGACCTCAGACACGCGGCACCACAGCCAGCGAAGTGGACCAAAAAGCTGTCGCTCAGGAAAAAAAAAAAAAAAAAGACTGGAGGGGAGTATCCCAAATTCAACAGGGACTCTTTGCCAGGCAGATTCAGGTTGTTTGTTGTGGGTGTTGTTTGTTTTTTCATGTCATAAATGACAAATCCTTCTTGAGCCTCAAGAGAAAGGGCATAAATCGGCTTCCATTTTTATATCGGTTAAGGCATCAGGTTGTAAGGGACCCAAACACCTTTCTTAAGAATGAAACAGAGGGAAAACATGGCAAGCCAGGCCACGGTAAGAAATAAAGACACAAAACTGAAGTCCAGGGAGGGCTGAGCCTTCCTCTGAGAAAAGCGGGAGTGCATTTCCTCGTCTGAAGACTCGGTGTGAATAAAAAGGAAGGAAGGTAACATCTTGATGAGGCCGAATGAACCCATATGGCAGGCTTCAGTGTAATGAGCCTGTCAGGGGGCCTCAGGTGAGTGTTGGTCTTTTGATGCCTCAGGCTATTTACAAGCTTCAAGGAGCCGGGAGAAGTCTCAGGGTGCTTTCATAGTCACTGTGTCATGACACTTTCCATTTATGATTTTTCATTATGATTCTCTTTAGAATCACCAGATAGGGGTCTCCGGCTCACAGGTGGGGGTAAGAGGATTTAGAAGCCTCAGTGTGGTGTTGTAATGAGTCCAGGGAGTTTGGAAGCCACCGTCCTGTGGGTGACTTTAAATGTTTGGAATTACGGGATGATGGCAGAGATGATTATCTAAAAGCGATGGTCAGGCCTGGTCGCAAATGACTGCCTGAAAGAAAATGGGGCTCCTGGGAAACCAAGGGAAGACGCCCACAAGCTGCAGAACCGGCCTGGTTTTAATTATGCCAATCACTAACGGCATGCAGGTGACTGGCTTATTCTGATCATTTGGCAGGCTTGCCTCCTTCAGGGGTAGCCTGGGATTCAAGATGCCAGGTCTATTCACGGCATGGATCAGATGTCTAGGCCCTCAAAAAGGCTGCAAGAGGCCCCTGGCTCTCAAGGCAGAGACCTCTCAAGGGAATTCTTCCTTGTGTTGAAAGAAGCCCTCAGAAGTGGCTTTTCTTTGCTGCCATTGGGAAATAGATTATTGACTTAGCTACCTGGCTGCTTTTGTCCTGCTAACCAAGGGTTTTCTCACACTGGTGTGCCAGGCCCTTCGATAAGTGGTCAAAGCCGTCAAAAAGGACCCTCATGGATTGTACATTCCAGAAAGGCTCCAATACAAGGAAGCGCATACATAAACATGTATCTTGGATTGTAACTCGAACTCTGGGGAAAATAAATGGAGCGATAAGGAAATGGAGTGGAAGTGAATAAAAAGGTGAAAAAAAAAAAAAAAAAAAAGAAGAGACACTCACCTGAGTGCTCAGGTCCCGCAGAGCCACGCGCAGACCAAGGAAAATGCTGGGTGGGCTGAGGGGTGAGTAACAAGAATGGATATAGCAGGTAAAGGGGTCCCCCGGGCATGCTCTGACATAACTGGGGTGTCCAGGGAAACCGATGCTGGTTGGGGGTGGAGGAGCAAGCGCCCCAGGACATGGTTGGGTGCTTCTAAAACTGGTGTGTGTGTCCTGGCTGCAAATGGCTGCCTGAGAGAAAATGACTAGCCTCATTTCAGCAAGATCCCTTCTGACTGCTGAATGGAAATGTGTTAGAAAGAGATAAATACGGAAGCAATGAGACCAGTAAGTGATATGAAGTGATAGTGGCTTGCACTGTTTATGCCACAGGGTTGGGGGTGACGTTGGTTCATTTGGGGATTCGATGGGTGTGTCTGGAGGACTTTGAGGTTCTTATGTCCGGGAAGGAGGAATTAGAGACAGGAAGGTAGTGTCAGAAGCAGAGGTGGTTTATTAAAAGATACACTTCCAAGGGAGGATGTGCGCCAGAGGAGGAGAAAACGTTTAGTAATGTAAAGAATCAGGCAGTCATTTGTGGGCTTTGTCACACATGCGCTGTTAAATGTAGCTCTACATACAACCTCATGCATTTTAGTTTTGTCAGCATGAAATCTCCACCTAGGTTAAATTAAATCTCCTACAGCGTTACAGTGAGCCATAGGTCACCTTCAGACGCCCTGGAGGATAGACCTCTACGCCTGTGCCAGTGGCTGTATTCAGTTGGTGGTGGAGGAAGTGTGGGTCTTTCTCTTTGCCAGCTAGTTTCTTTCCTGTGCTAATTTTGTAGCCTTCCTGCAATGCTCTCTGAACTTTAATAAACCCCTATTCTCCTGTTCAGTATGCTGTTTTGCCTCTCTCTTAGACTAAGATCTGCCAACAGCATTCCTACCAAGAGAGTAATGGTGGAAATGCCTTCAGATTTGAGGCTATACAAAGCCCTGCAAACTCTTGCTTTGGTGCTGAGTCCTTGTTTCATCTTCCTGAGAGGTACGCTACTTGACAGTGCCCACCTTGGAAGGAGCCTGGGCTATGTCGTGACCATGAGCAAATGTTCAGATCCGTAGCCCCATCTAAGGTCCACTTGGCAGTCAGCTTAAAATACTAGATGTACGAGTCATGGAGTCCAGCTCTCACTGTTCTGTCACACTGATCCCTGAGCCTACTGCCTTGGTTAGGGATTCTGTCAAATACCTGACAGGAAAGCCACTTAAAGGCAGAAAGGTTTGTGTTGGCTTACAGTTTGAGGAGGTACAGGCCACTGTGGCAGGGAAAGCATGGCGGCAGGAACTTGAGGCAGCCAGCGGCTCTGTGAGTGCACAGCCGTGGGAAGCATAAAACAGACAGGAAGGAAAGCCAAGCATTGAAACCTCAAGGCCTACTCCTCGAGGCCCACTTCTTCCAGTAAGGCTCCACTTTACTGGAAGACAGGTAGATCTCTGAGTCTGAGGCGAGCCTGGCTTACAGAGTTAGTTAATATTTGAAATAAGCTGTCACGTGACACAGGTAACTGGAACAATGAGAGAAAGCCATCTCTCAGGGAAGAGACAGCTGCCCATGGAATCTGAGGACACACACTCTCTGGTGTCTTGAGTCCACACAGACATCGAGGCTGAAGGCGCTCTCATAAACAGTGTGTGGATTCATTTCCCTTAACTTTACAGGACTGTGAGAGACCAGCAAGGGCACGAGATGGGCGGAGAGGCTGGTTCAAGGCCTTCTCTTAGGAAGTTGAGTATTTAGAGGTAGAGGAAAAAAAATCAAAGCTAGAATGGCAAGGGAGGAGAGAGGATGAGAGAATACATTGAGAGTTTAAAAAAAAAAAGATAAAAGTAGCCACTGAGTTCACCAAGACAGAGCGCCCGTGAGCGTGAGATGAACAATGTCAGTGGGAGTGGATGGGACAGAAGCAAAACCAGCTGTGATCTCTCAAAGAAGCAAGAGCTATCTAGTACTTCAAGAGTTGGGTCAGCGGGCCACAGGCTGCTACTAACTGAAGGGGAAGCTGTCTCTGTCTGCTTAGAGAGGCAAAGCATGCTGGGCTGAGTAAGCAGCAAACAGTTTGGCCAACAGGCAGAACTGGCTTGAGACAGCTATGGGCAAAT